CTGGAAAAATGAGACAACCTGTTGTATTGGTTGGGGGAACAGGATGGGAAGAAAAAGCAGGAAGCTGAGAAGTAAAGCTGAGAGCAGGAAGGGCAGCAGCAGAACTGAGGCTGGGGATTGCTGCAGCAAATTCCCAAGGAGAGTGAAGAAGATATCCTGAAAAGTGGTTAGGGCTGGAAGCAGGGTGTGAACAAGGAGCCAAGCCTGGAGAGAGAAGCAAGACCTGCAGAATGGGGGTGGGATATTCACGAAGAGGGTAGAGTGTTCAAAATCATGAGTGGGCTGTGTTGCAGGGCATACATGGAAAGCAAGGGGTTACTATTGCAGGAGGTCAAAGAGATTGGATACTACTCATAAGTAGGGGCTCCCTAACGCTTCTGAACAAATGCAAGTGAGCTTGGGACCCTTTTGGGGCCCTAGCACAAATGGTCCGGTGTGTGAGTAATTCCCATATGCATGTGAAGTGGCCAGGGCATGAGTGCATGTGTCTATATGACCAATAAATAAGAGTACTTACCCTTCCCTGCAAGTGCAAGTACTGTGCTTGTAGACACATGTTTACCCATGTGTGCGTGCGCCGAGCCCATGAGCACATGCAACAGACCCCTATGTCCGAGGTGTGTGTGTGAGCTGGTTCTTCCACCCTTCCCAAGGTCTTGATCCCCACCCTCCTTGGTTCCTCTCACTCCTCTCAGCGCCCAGGCTCCCCTGGCCCGCCTAGACTCTGGAAGCCCCCTAGCAGGCGGATCTGCTCAGTCTGCATGGAGTGGCGCCTCACCAACTTGCGCTTGGTCCTGGGAGAGCCTGGCGCCCCCGCCTGGGGAGGGGCGGGCAGCGAAGGCGCCCGACCTCCGGGTTGGGGACGAATGTCAGGGATGGGAGGGTGGGGGCTGACATTGAGCGGGGGCAGGAAACCAGGCCGTGTTTGCGCGATGTGGTCCAGAAGCAACGTCCCCGAGCCCCTCCGCTCCAGCAACCCTGGACTCCGCCTCCGCCCGCTCAACGGAGACACAGCCCCAGGCAGACTCTCCTGGGACTGGCGCGGGGAGGGAACAGAGCCGGCTGGAGGGAGGGTCAGCGGGGAGGCGCTGTATCTGCGGCGCTCCAGGGACGGGCGGCTGCACTCCGGCGAGTCGGGGCAAAGATTTCCGGGGATATCGAGCTCCACCGGCTCCATGCGGCTCAGTTTCTGCCTCAGCCCTGAAGGGGGGCCAGGCTCCTGAGCTTCTGGCGCTGTGTTTCGGCGCGAGAGAGGACCCCCACCCGTCACTTTCTCCGCCCACGGGGGCGGGTCCTCTGGGCCTTCAGTGCTATGACGTCTGGAAAGACGCGGTCGACCTGTCAGGGTCAGGCCGTTGAATTCGGTGGTCAGGCGCTCAATCCCCGGCCTCACTTCGGCAGGAGGGACCGGTTGAGGAGGGGCCACTAGGCCCCAAGGCTCGGAGTTGAGCCTTTTGAGTGGTTTTGGAGGATGACGGGGTGGTTTGGGGAGTGGCTCAGAAGGGGAGGGGTCATCGGGGGGCTTAGGAAGAGGGAATTCAAATACGTCCCGCTTCTCCTCTTCTTCCTGGGTGCGAGGGGATAACAATCCCTGTCCTCCTACTCCTGCAGTCTGCAGTTGGATTTCCGACGGCGACGTGCAGACCCCCGGGCTAAGAGGAGCGGGAGCGGGGTCCTCCACCCCCGGGGACGGTGGGGAATTGAGATACTGCCGGGTCTTCTTGGTGCCCGAGGGCGAGGTGTCGGTGGTGATGATGATGACCTCCGTGCCCTTGGCCTTACAGGCGTCCAGCAGCGTGGCAAGGGTCTCGCGATCCCCGCGGTCCAGGGCGTGGACAAGCGCCGAGGCGCCAGCGTGATCTCGGACTGAAGGGTCTGCGCCATGGGCAAGGAGCAGGGAGGCCACCGCTGCGCCCCCGCCGCCGGCGCAAGCGTGCATAAGCGCCGTGCGCCCTAGGCGATCTGCGATGTTGGGGTCCGCGCCTTGCTCCAGAAGGTAGCGTACCATGCGCGCCTTGTTCTGGGGGTCGTCGTAGCGGGCCCGACAGGCCGCCATTAGCGCAGTCTCCCCTTGGGCATCACCCTCATTCACGTAGGCGCCCCCCTCCAGAAGCAAACGGGCCAAGCGTAGCTTACCCTGACCCACGGCCCGAAGAAGAGCGTGGCCCTCGGTGTGCAGCATAGCTGCCGCTGGGGCGAAAGCACCGACGGAGCCGGGACTGGGACCTGCCGAGGATGGCTAGGGGAGTGGGGGTGGTGGCTGGCAGAGGCCCGAAGGCTCAGTGGCGAAGCCAATCCCTGCAAAAGAGAGAAAGATCTTATTTATTGATTCAGGCAGGGAAACTGAGGCACTGGTGGAAGGATCGGCGTGGGGCGGGGGAGATCTCCCCGGCACTGCACACAGTCCTTCTAACTCCTGCCTTGAGCCGCCCCCATCCCCCCAGCGCATGCCTGAGGAGGTGGGAAGGGTGCACCCGCACTGAAGGACGAGCGCCAGTGCAAATGCGTACGTGCACGCGCAGGGATATCCGCACCGCCACCCTCACCCCACGGCTTATCAGACCTTTCCAGCATCCCCCTTTTCTTATCCGTACTTGGAATCCCCCTTCCTAGGATGCTGAACGCCACCCCCCCGACACACATGCACCCATACATTCACACACAGTCCCATTCCTAACCTCTTTTAGGTTGCCACAGCCCCACAAACTGAATGGGGGGAGGGAGGCAGCTTGCGTTTGGGACCTAAAACGGGTAGGGGGAGAATTGCGGGTTTCTTTTGCCCCTGCTACATTCCCCATCACTCCTTGCTCTTTCCCCTTCCCAGGCTGTGCACCCAAATAGATACCTGTAAGTCCGCAGAATCTCCTCCGGGCCAGGACTGAGGCCAGGGCCACGGGGCAGCTGGGGTGGCGGAGCCGGGTTCCTGGGGGCCCACATGGCGTGGGGGTGGGCACCCGGATTCCCTGGGTGTCAGTATCTGCGCCCGGGCACAGAATCCTGGTCCCTCCTCCCGGTGCGCCCCGGGCACAGCGCCGGCTCGGGAGGAGAGAAGCTGGGGGGGGGGGGGCGGAGCTCTGCCTCTCTATTTATAGCCTAGTCTCTGAGGGTGGGGGCGTCGGGCACCAAACCGTTACCCCACTCATGCACACATAAACCCTCAAAAGCTAGAGGCTCCAATCCTGACTTCCCTTGCTTAGCCGACCTCCCCTCAGTCACAACAAACCTAAGTGTTCCTTAGGAGACTCCTCCGCGACCCAGACTGGGACCATCCTAGTTCTTCGTTGAGCTTCAGCAGACCCCCATTCTCCGAGCTTGGTGTGTTGATGCGCGCCTGTGCGCCAGATCTGACCTGCCACACACAGCACATGGCACACTGTGCAGAGGGGTGGAGAGAGGCGATGGCGATCCACAGCCGGGGTCCTTACTGTGCAGAGCGAGGCAAGAGTTGTGGCTGCCTTCTCGTAGTTTAAATGTCAGGGGGAGCTGGAGTCACACAGCGATACATCTTCATTCCACCTCCCCCAAAACGGAACATGTACCACAAATAAACTTGGACCTCAGCTCTCTTGTACAGACCTCTTAGATAAGTATGAAGAGGTTGGATATCTGGGATCATTTTTAGATACAGCAAGGGGCATTCCCAGTTGTCTCCTCTCCATATTCTTGGAGGGGTGGGAAGGAGAGAGATAGAAAAGGGGCAGAGAAGAGTGAACCTTGTAACACATCCTCTCTCATTGCATCTCTTTACTCTCAGTCTTGCTTAGAATCATTATTTTTCCATCTCACTTAAAGGTCTCTGTTTGAATCGCTCCTTGAAGTCTTCTTCTCCCTGTCTGTAGCAGTCGGTTTCTCTCACTGTCTGTCTCTGCCTCTCCTCACCATCTGCCCTGTCTCCATGGTTACCATAGCTGCCATCTGCATATTTTAGGAATGAGTTTGTGTCCAGCTGGAAGGCATCAGGGGGAGTGGGAGGGGGAGTGAGGAAAAAATCCTAAGGGTTTGGAAAACTCACCTGAGGTAATTCAGAGGCTGGAGGCCACCAGACACAAGATACAATGTTCCTGGAGAAGGGGGAGAGAGAAATATTTGCAGGGAAGCCACCCATTTTTACTAGCTGCCATTTATTGGAAACCAACCATGTGCCAAGTACTTTACATACATTATCTCCAATCCTCACAACAACACTATAAAGTAGGAATTATTTTCTTGTTATAGATGAAGAAACTGAGACTTAGTAAAGTTAAGTAAGTTCTCCAAAGCCTCACAGCTCTGTTTCTGTCCTATTCCAAAGACTTTGTGCTTGCCACTCCACCTACAGCCTTCCCAGTCCAGAGGCTTCACTCCCAGGGCCATTTTCCCTGACGTCTGGGTTATTGTTCTTAACTAACTCCTAGATTCTATCTCTACTCTGAACTCTTTCCCTCTGTTTTTTTTTTTTTTTTTTTTTTGTGGCGAAGTGGGACTCCTCCTCCTGTGCCCCCTTTTACCAAGGGCTAGGAGGAACTGGAAGGCAGTGGGAAATGCAGGAAACACTGGATTCCTTCCCTGTCTCCTCAACTCTGGTTATCTGATTCCTAATCCTTCCTTTCCCAAACCCTCTTTCCATCTTCTCACAGACATGGCAGCAATCCACAGGAAAATATTTTTCTAGAAAAGAAATATTCATTGGTGGTGCTGGAGGGAGGCAGTGCAGGATTGAAGGGAAGGTTGGAGTGAAGAAGGAGAGGCCCAGTGTGAAGACAGAGTCACAAAAAGAACGACGCCTAAGAAGCAGGTTTCACAGAGGTTTATTTCTCTGTGTAAGCTCCCTCAACAGAGTCCCTCGGTGAGATGTGAGAGTCAGGTTCCCTCTGTGAACTGTCGCTAGCCAAGGGGATCCTCCATCTGAGATGAGGTGTGAAATGACTGACCCTTGGTTGATTCTGCAACTCCATCTCTCTCCTCACCCGGCTTCTCTAGCCTGAGTTCCGGCGAACTCTCTCCCTCCCTCCACTCCTCAGCTTCAAGTGGGCGGACCTCCCTCCTCGGCTTCTCCAAGATTGGCCGGGAGAACTCACCAATGGGGAGCTCTGGGAGGCGGACCTAGAACGCCAACAGCTTGAGGAAGACCAGCAAATTTCAAGTTGGCTGCGGCGTGTTTTCCGCGTGGGGGAGGGGCAGCAGGTAAGGCCCCGACTTGGTGGCTCTGACCTGGTTCCGTTCCACACCTTCCGAACTAGTTCACCAAGGCCAAGCTGCTAGATAGACAACGCTTTCCGGCAGCCTGTTGGATCAGCCCGCTTCTAGTTCCCTACCCTTTTCCTCTGGGCTCCCATTGCTCTGTTGATTTTATGCCAGAGAACCGTAGTTTTCTTTCGCGCAAAGGGGAGTTATATTAAAGGAGAAAGTGAAAGACTCACTCTGGTACCTCTGACTCTTTGCTATGGGGTCAGCTTCCCCTAAATCTATTACTGTTAAGAGCCTGACAAACTCCTGTTATCTATCAAGACTCTGATGAAATGTTACCTTTACCTGTAGCTTTCCTGGTTCACCTTTTTTTGCAGAATTAATTGTTCCCCAGTCTGAGGATAGCATTGTAGGCATACCTCTGTTGGAGCACTTAGTGCTCAATCCCTCTTTAATGTTTCTATTCTTTTTAGAATATAAGGTTTTGTAGGGCAGGTTCTAATATTTAATACACAGTGCCCAATAAAGGTTAATTGGATGGAATTAATTGGGGAGGAAGAATTTAAACTCCTGATGTAATTAGGGAAAAATTAATAAAAGATAAAACAAAATACAATACAGTATATAATTATGACCTCTTAAATTAGTGTTTCATAATATAATTGCTCCCACAGTCCAGAGAAGGGAGAAAGCTAAGAGGACTGGGATGGTGAGGGGAGGCTTTAGGAATCACAAAGTCTTAAGTTTGGAACAGACCTTAGAAATCATGTATTCATTCGTTCATTCATTTTTAAGCAAATATTTATTGAGCATCTACTATATGCCAGACATAATGCTAGACAATGGGGATCATAGTGAATCCTCTACTTTAGATATGCATTCTTCCTTTGATAAACCATATTTAGTAAATGGTTATCCAGCTTCAGTTTAGACTTCTTAGTAAAAGAACTTCCTATCTCACTTTGTTCTTCAATCAGTATCTAACAAATAAAACAAATACGTGGCTCAACAAAATGCAATCCACATTTCCACTGTAAAAGAGGAAGAGCTGTCCTAGTGGTAACATTCTTAAAGATAAAGAAAATCATCCCTTTTGTTTTCTGATTATAGAAGTAATATACATTTATCCTAGAAAACTTGGAAATACATAAAGGTATAAAATATCTATTATTTCATGACCGTGATATAGTGTTATTATTTTAATATGTATCCTTTCAAGTTATTTTCTGCTGTATACATATGTATACATCTGTGTGTTTGTATATATATTACACACATAGGGCCATACAACAAATACAACTTTATATCATGCTTCCCCCACTTTACATTATATTGTGAACATTTTCTGCCTTTAAATATTATTTGAAATAATTATTATGTCTACATAATGGTCTAAGATGGATGTTTGATTTTTTTTTAACCATTCATTTTTTTGTTGGACCATTTAGGTTATTTCAGAATTTGTGCTACCATGGATAGCTCTTTGATAAACATGCTTTTACTTATATCTCTGACTATATATCTGATGATTTCTTTAGGATAAGTGTTTAAAGTGGGATTACTGGGTTGAGGATATAAACTTTTAAAAGGCTGTAGATTCAAGGGGTCAAATTGCTCCCCCAAAAGACTGTGTTTATAGTCCTTCCAGTAAGGTATGAGAGTGTCCATCTCAAAAAAACCCATGGCAGCCTGATTATTTTTTAAATCTTTGTCAATTTGATAGGTAAAGAATGGTTTTATTGGCTATTCTTTCCTTAATTGCCTATTTGCACATTTATTCTATTCATGTTCTTTGCACATTTATTCTACTGGGGTGATTTTTTTTCGTTTGGATTTCCATGAGTTCTAATATGAGTGTTAACTCCTTGTCTTATTTATTACAATTATAGCAAACTGTAAACATTAGAGTGCTCCAGGCCTCAGTCCCTGGATCTCTTCTTTTCTCTCTTCACATCCACTCCTTTAGGAATCTCACCCAGTCTCATGGCTTGAAACATTTGTATACTGAGAACACCACTAGAATGTAAGCTCCATTTAAACTCCATGGGTGCAGGAGTTTTTTGTCCATTTTGCTCACTGATACATCCCTAGCACTTAGAACAGTGCCTGGCACTTAATAAGAACTCAGTAAGTATTCATTGAATGAATTTAGATGGTTTTTAAATTATTATTATTCCCATTTTACAGATAAGGAAATGGGTTTACAGTTATTAAATAAATTGCTGAAGGTTGTATAGCTAGAAAATGACTGAACTGGGATTCAAATCCATGTTCTTAACCACTACATATACTGCCTTTCTTAAATTTGATGTAATTGTTTTTCTGTACGTTCTGTTGAAACCTGCTTCATAGTAACTTCTACCACATCACACAGTTATGCTTAATTGGGAATGAGTATAATGTACATGAGATGTTGTTGTTTGCAGGGGAAGGAGAGTACAGGGGTAAACACTAGGGAGGGTTGATGTTTATGGAGGAGCAGTCTGGGACCAGGTGATGGGAAACCTTAAACATCTTCAAGAATTTAGACTCAATCACAATCTTAAATAGAAGAGACTCATTGTAGATTCCTGAGCTGAGTGGGGTACAGATAGTTTACAGTTTCCCAACCAGTTTAGTGCCTTAATTAACTAAAGTTTTGTCTTCTTTTTACCCCACATCCTTGAGGGTCACTTGGTTAGTATGTGGAAATGGAGTTAGATTTGTCTAACCTGAAAGTTCATGGCCTTTTCTTAACTCCTCACTGCTTTGCAGTCAAAACAGCTCCTGTGTCCACTGCTAGAACTGTATCTATCAGGTGGAAAGACATCTAAGCTGTCTAGTTAGAGTGTCTTTTCCCTTGAAAGGGCTTGAAGACATGGTGGCAAATTCTTACTACTTCTCTAGTGTCCATAAGACATCCTCTCTCCTCTAATGTGTTCTTTAAGTCAGATCACAGTTTAATCTATTAACTAACAGCCATCTTTTCCTGACATTTTTCTTGGCACTTGGACTTGAAACTTTCCAAATTCCTCAGGCACACATTTTCCCACCTCTCCTTCCTGCTGCATATTATTAATCTCATCTACTATGCTGTTTTACTATATTTTTAATTTTTTAATGAATATTTTTTCTTATTACAAAAGCAGCCCCTATTCAGTACAGGAAAAAAAAAACCCATAAAATACACATCATCAAAAAACCCCCAAAACCCATCACCTCCAATTAACCAATGTTAATTTTTGTTGTATATCCTTCAAGAACAACTTTTTAATTCATATATCTGGGTGGGTGTATGTGTTTGACAAAACAGATTACCTTGTACATATTTTAAAATCTTTTTTCCCCCTAACTAATCTTTAGTGGAGTGCATTTTGTTGAGCCATGTATTTCTTGTTTTATTTGTTGAATATTGATTGAAGAACAAATATCCCAAAATGGAATGACCTGCAAAGTGAGAGAGGGAGTTCTCTTACTAAAAAGTTTAAATTGAAGGTGGATAACAATTTACTAAATATGGTTTATCAAAGGAGGGATGCAGGTCTAAAGTAGAGGATTCAATATGATCTCCATTATCTAGCATTATGTCTGGCATATAGTAGATGCTCAATAAATATTTGTTGAAAGAATGAATGAATGAATACATGATATCTAAGGTCTGTTCCAAACTTGAGACCTTGTGATTCCTAAAGCCTCCCCTCACCATCCCAGTCCTCTTAGCTTTCCGTGGGAGGAATTATATTATGAATCACTAATTTAAGAGATCATAATTCTATACTATATTGTCTCTTGTTGCTCCATAGCTAACATATTGTTAGTATGTTCCCTTAATATGATGTGATGAAAATGGCTCTTCATCTCTGTGATCTTCCTCCCTGAAACACACAACCCCAGTCTAATCAAGAGAAAAACATCAGAAAAATTCAAACAGAGGAACATCCTATAATACACCTAACCAGTACTCCTTAAAACTGTCAGGGTAATGAAAGACAAGGAATGTCTGAGAAACTGTGAATTTTGAATTGCTACTCAAGTTTCTTGCTTTTTTTTATTAAGAAAATTTATTTCTTAAAACAGTTTTAGATTTACAGAAAAACTGAGCAGATAGTACAGAAAGTTTCCATATGCCCTGGCACCAGTTTCCCCTATTATTAATGTCATATATTAATATGGTATACTTGTTACAATTAATGAACAAATATTGATACATTGTAATTATTCAAGGTCCATACTTGATTTGGAGTTCCTTAGTTTTACCTAATGCTCTTTTTCTGTTCCAGGATCCCATCCAGGATACCACATTATATTTAGTTATCATGGCCCTGTTATGTATGGAATATGTCTATACATACATATACTTACATGCACAAACATATATGTATATGTATGTATACATACATAACTGAAATTGAGAGGATCCATATGCAAATACTAATAATGATTATTACTACATCATGGTCATGAAATAATAGGTATTTTTATATATACCTTTATGTTTTTCCAAATTTTCTAGAATAAATATATACTACTTCTATAATGAGAAAACAAAAGGAATGGTTTTCTTTGTTTTTATGAAGGTCACCGCTAGGACAGCTCTCTCTCTTTTACAATGGAAGTGTGACCTTTCCTTGTTTTTGATGACCTTGACAGTTTTGAAGAATACTGGTCAGATATATTATAGGATGCTCCTCTGTTGGAATTTGTTGGCTTTTTTCTCCTGATTAGACTGGGGTTATCAGTTTTGGGGAAGAGGATATCACATCATATTAAGGGTACATACTAACAATATGATTTAATTTTGTTCATGTTGAAACCTTGGTCATCTGACTGAAGTAATGCTTGTCCAGTTTCTACACTGTAAAGTTACTCCCCCCACCTTTCCAAAATTGTTTTGGACAAAATTCCCTATACACAGGCCATACTTAAGGAGTGGGGAATTACACTCTCCCTTTTTAGGGTGGAATCTACATAATTTATTTGGAATTCTGCATGAGAAATTTGTTTTTTCTCTACCACGTATTAATTTGTTCAAACGTTTATTTATATCAGTATGGTCTCTTGGATATTTATTTTATACTTTGGTGTTATAATCCAATACTACTTTATTGCTCAAATTGTTCAGGCTTTGGCCATTGGGAGCTCTTTCAGTCGACTCTTATGCCCCTTTGACACAGCCCCATCAATGTGTGTGTTGTGTTTTTGAGCACTTTCTTACTTTCTGGCACTACAAGATGCTTCAGTCTCATCTTGTATATTTCCTGCCCCAGTCCTAGAATCAGCCATTTCTCCAAGAAGCCCTGGTTCCTTTTATTGGAAAATGGTATTAGGAGCCAAGATCTGGGTGCTAGGTATCTTCCCTGCTACTGGGATTTCATTTCCTTCAAGTTTCATTTTCATTTGATGACTTTATCCCCCATGCTATCTGACTGGCTTCTCAAAAATAATGACAAGAGGCAAAGTTCAGTTACGGTAGCAGGAGGAACTTTCAGTTCATCACAGTGGAATGGGCTGCCTTGGAGAGGAAAATGGACACCCTCTCTTTAGGAAAATGCCACCAGAAGCTGAATGACCAACAACTTACAGAGGATAGTACTGTACTGGGAGGGTGTTTGGGCTAGAAGACTCCATGGGTCCTTCCATTCTAAGATTCTGTGTTTCCAGGTGATGTTTAAAAAGATCAACTTGATTGTAATGGCTCTTATCACATACATCCCCACCCCCAATCAAAGGACAGTGAGACTGATGACTCATTCCTGTTCCCTCCCAGTGTCTGGCACACTACCTTTTTCATGGTAGATGCTTAATAAATGTTTTGTTGAAATGCATTGCATTAGATTGAGTTTAGGCCTGGTTGGGTTTGGAAAGTGAGGGAGAGAAAGAATTCAAAGATCATATGTAGATATGCAGATGGTGATAAACATCAAATTAACTTAGGGGCGTAGGAAAGTTTTATCCAAGGGTCTAGTCACTTTCCTCATTGTGCTACAGTCACACCATATTGCAATTATCTGTCCTGTTGGAACCGTGTCTCATCCATATTTTATATTTTTAGAAATACCTTGCTTGGCACTATGCCTTCTCAAAATTTGTTGAATTAAACTGGCTTTTCAGGTCTCTGGGAGAAAAGATTGAGTGTCTTGTACCTCCCTGGCTTCCTGTCTGTTCTACTGTACTTTTTCTCTGTGTTTTTGTCTTTATCAGGTTTTTCCTATTGGATGTCTGAATCCCCAGGCCCCCTCCATCATGGCCAGCCGGGGTGGGGGCCGGGGTCGTGGCCGTGGCCAGTTGACCTTCAGCATGGAGGCTGTGGGCATTGGGAAGGGGGATGCTTTGCCCCCACCCACCCTGCAGCCTTCTCCACTCTTCCCTGTGAGTGTCTGCCCTCCTTTCCCAAGACTCCCATATGCCCCTGGCTGACTGTGTATGATCCTGGATTCCTCCTGAGCCATCATAAAATCATCCTCATCTTGCCCCTCCCTGTCTGTATACTCCCACCTTATATGGGATGTTTTCCAGACAAGGAAGTATCTACCCTCACTTTTTACATTCTCAGCTCCCCAGCTTTCAAAATGCTGTGTTGCTCCACCCATTTGCCTTGGTCCTCTGCTCAGTGGGAGCATTGGATTGAATTGTGGGGAGAGGAGAGGCCCTCCCAGATTTGTACTCCAGCATGTTCTCCCTGAATTGACCATTGCCTCTGCCTCCTTAGCCCTTGGAGTTCCGCCCAGTGCCTCTGCCCTCAGGAGAGGAAGGGGAATATGTCCTGGCACTGAAGCAGGAGCTTCGAGGGGCCATGAGGCAGCTCCCCTACTTCATCCGGCCTGCTGTCCCCAAGAGAGGTCAGTTGGAATGCTAGTATCATGTTCTGAGTACCTTCCATGAGTAGTGCCCTATACTTAGCACCGCTGGGGCCCAGAGAGGCCAGAAGAGGCACAGAAAGCTCACTGCCTAACTGGGGAGACCACAGTAATTACCCCTGCATTTGAAATGCATTATGGTATCCATGGTTTGTTTTGAGTCTCACAGTAGTCTTGGACAGTAGGAGGTTAAGTATTAAGATGCCCATTTTACAGATAGAAATGAGGAGATGTATTAAAATTTTTAACAATCTGGATATTGCAGGTACCAACCAATCAGAAGAACTTGAGAAGGGGTCTCTGAGAAGCCCTGTAATTAAAATATTACCCCTTTGGTTTGTGGATCATGAGAGGTCAGGGAGCCAGGAGGGACTGGAGTACAGGATGTACTTAGGAGGTCTGGGATAGTGGATATTTACCAACTGGTGTGGAAGTACAGTATTTCAATGTATTGACAACCAGTGCTTTCCTACTAAGCCCTAGAAGCTAAAGTTCAGAGAGATGAAACAATTGCCTAAGTTAGTCCCATTAACGAGGAGTAAAGGGAACACTGAAACCCTCGTTTCTTGCTCTAGTATACTTTCCACTGTACCACACTACCAGTCAATATAGCCATGCCTTTGCGTTAAGGGAGATAACAAAAACATTGTAATTTGAGGTGGCAAAAGGACGGGTTAGAAGAGTGTTGAAGGTCCTCATGGAAGCTGACCCCCTGGCCTCTGGGTCTGGGGTGAGGAAAAAGGCAATTTCTGAGTTTTGAGAGGGCTGGACCTCAGGAAGAACCCTGTTCTAGGGCTCTGAAAGGATAAAACTTTGACCCTTGACCTCTGATCCCTCAGATGTGGAGCGTTACTCAGACAAATATCAGATGTCAGGGCCGATTGACAACGCCATAGATTGGAACCCTGGTAGGTGATGGGCCCTTTCATTGACCTCCCTTCTTTCAAATGCTTGAGATGCCTCAAGCCACAAGCCACCACCCTATCCACCCTCCTCCGTCTCCACCTTCACCCTATTCAGGAGCCTTAGATGTGCTCCAAAACACTCTCAGACTCTACCTAAAAACCTATTAAATGGCCCCCACTCCTCTGGAGGCATCCAAGCCACAGTTGTGTTCCAAGCAGCTTTGACCCAGCCCCTTCCTTCCTCACCCTTAACCCTGATCCTTACCTGTCCTTTCAAAGAGTCATCATTCATAGGACACCCCAGGGCAGAGTCTTGCTAACTTTTTCATTCCCGCTATTCCTAGATTGGCGACGTCTACCCCGGGAGCTAAAGATCCGAGTACGGAAGCTACAGAAGGAGCGTGAGTGTATCTGGAAAAAGGAGGGAAAGGAGAGGTTTCCTTCATCAGCTGTAGGGCCAAGGCTGCTGGTGGTCTTGCCTGCCCTCCCAATTCCTACCTACCCAGTCTACCCAGTATTGTTGCTGGGTGCCACGGTGGCCACATGAGGGCAGCAGAGTGACATGGTCCATGCAAGAGGGTGGGGTAGAAAGCCATCTAGGAAGTTTGCTCTGATGGTTCACCTTTTGATCCTCTCACCAGGGACCACCATTCTACTCCCCAAGAGGCCCCCTAAGACCACAGAAGATAAGGAGGAGACAATACAGAAACTAGAGGTAAGGAAGAAATGTGCATAGAGACCACCTGGGCCCCAGATTCATTCCTCCCCTTTGGCCCATGTGTGCCTCAATTTTTCCCTTCTGTGAGCTGAGTTTCTCTTCCTATTCATCCTCACATAAGACCCTGGAGAAGAAGGAAGAAGAAGTGACTTCAGAGGAAGATGAGGAGAAAGAAGAAGAAGAAGAGAAGGAAGAGGAAGAAGAAGAGGAGTATGATGAAGAAGAGCATGAAGAGGTGAAGGGGACCTCCTTTCATTCTCAGGCCCCCTTTCTTCCACTCATAAGCTCTGGGGATCTCAACTTCAGAAGGCTGGAGGGCCAAAGGAGATAGTGCCCCCAAAGGATAGCGCCCTCCACTTTACCTGTCCCTAGGCTCTTCTCAAGAGTGAACTACAGCTTGAATGCAGAGTGAACTATAGGCCTGGAATGCTGCGATTGGGAGGGAAGGGGACTGGTACACAGGGATGAAGGAGAATGCTGAAAGCATGCCGACATACCTTTCTTCCTTCCTTTCTTTCTTTCTATTTCAGGAAACTGATTACATCATGTCATATTTTGACAATGGAGAGGACTTTGGGGGTGACAGTGATGACAATATGGATGAGGCTATATACTGAAGAAGGACTCTAAACAATACCCTGGACGTTCATATCTTTCTTGATTTAGGACACAGAGAGTAGCTGTCCCCTATTATTAGGTTTTGTGGACAAGCAAATCATTTGCTCAGAATCCAGATAACCTGTTTGGTCCCTGGAGATAGGAATAGAGAGTGACAACAGATAGCTCTCTTTTCTACCCTTCCCCTCCCTCTCTCCTGTGGTATTGTATCACCTCTGATATCTTGGGGAAAGGACAAAGGACCAATGTCTTAATTGTATGAAAGTGAGAAAGGAGGGTCGAAAGAAGGACTGGAATCATTAGAGCTGAGACAGCTGTGCACATGCCCCTACCCATTTATAGTTCTTTGTGGAGATAATTGGGGGTGCGAGCAGTTAGGAGGAATAAGGCCAGTTTTATATTTTTAAATAAAATGTTTTTATCTGTCTCTCTGTCCAGGGTGAAACCTAGTGGGAGAGGGCTGGAGGAATGAAGGGGATGCCTAGTAAGCCATTCTTCTCTCCTCACCTGTTAAGAGTCCAGTGTGACACACTGGGGGTTAGAGCCTTCCTGTCCTTTGCCCCTTCCCTCCTACCCCCATGGTGGGACACCTAATCCCCATCTAGCTCTGCCAAGGCACATTCAGGAGCTCATCTGCAGGGCTGCACAGAGAGAGTTGTATACAGCCCACGCCCTGAAGACCAGCTGGCTTCTGGGCTTCTGGTCCTCAGGCAGTGGGGACGACATGATTCACGTGTGTTCACATGTGTTCACAGGGACACAGGCCCTCACTTTCCCGTGCTTGACCTTGATCTTGTCCTTGTTTACAAGGAATGATTACAACTATTTTTGTGGGGAGAGTCAAGAAAGCCAGGTGTGGGGAGGGAGTAGGGAGGAAGTGCCGATTCTTCTTCAGCACACTCGCCCTCTTCCAGGCCCTGGAGACCCCACTTTGAAAGGTGTGTCTGTGAAGCAGGAGCCCCCTAAATATCCTATTCCCCACTTCCGGAAGCTGCCGTGTGGCTGAGTTGCAGTTTCCCTTCTGTGGAATTTAGTTCTTCCTTTGTGGAATTTAGTTAGCCTTTCTCTCACTCCCTTCTTGTGGGGAGGGGGAGGGGGCAGGCAGTGTTGCTTTACAGGAAGTAAGGAGGGTGCAGAGGAAGGGGGTGACTTAGGGACACTCAGCTCTGAGAGGTGCATTCTCACCCACACAGTTCTCCCTTGGGTGAGGTCACTTCCCTGGGCTCTGATTGGCTTCCGAGGAAGCCCTAGATGTACTGATTGGTTCCAGCCACTTGACATGCAACAGTCACGGGCAAGCTGCATGTCCAGAATAGGGACTGGATAAGGAGGCAGGAACAGATAGCTGGGATGCTGTCATAGCAACCTTGCTAAACATTTGAAAGCCATGAAGATGGGATGTAGGAGAATCTTCAAGAAATTCCCCAGCCATATTCAGGTAGGCAGACTGAATTCCCTATGGCATCAAGTGATAGAGACTGGCAGTCTAATGTTAGATATTTCTGACCCAATTGTAAAGAATGAATAGGGGCTGTGACTCCATTGAGGGAAAGCACCTTAAAAGCCTGGTTTGGGTGTGGTAGTAGATGTTAAGGTAGGAGCCAAGAGAACAGAGAAGGAAACAGGAATAGAAATAGAACATTCCAGAGTTATTGAGCAATTTGGATGATTGATGTGTTCCCTTTTCTAGTTCTCTGAGGTATTGTGTGAGTGGAGTAGGGGGAGGGGCCAGGGGACCTGTCACTGGGGTTTCCCATAGTCACACTGTAGCCTGTGATTGTAGCTAGGGAGAAATGAGCAGAAAACAAAAATAAAAGACCCTGGAAAATCTCCTTTTACCTTTCTCCTCTGCATATACACACATACCAGACCTAATCTGGTTAACTATGTTTGTGTCTATGTTGGGGGCACAGTTGACCTCCTAAATCCCACCTAATGCCAGCATGTGTACTCAAAAGAGTGGGAACAAAGAAGATTCTAGACAAGAGACAGTAGAGGAGAACTGAACACACCCCTGCCCCCACCTCTATACACACACATCCTTTTCCCATGAAACAGGGGAAGGATAAAGGTTAGAGTGGCCTCTTGGGATCAGTTGTACTTCCTCAAAGACAAAGTGTCAGAGAGACCAGACCATTCTTGGACTCTTTCCTATCTGGCCTCCTGCCCTTCCTGGCAGGTGACCTTGCTGAACAAAGCCAGAGACAGGGGACCCAGCAGCTTCCCCAGATTCCGGAACAGTTCCAGGAATGAGCTAGACTGTTTCCATTGACCTTTCCCCTACTTTCCATAGGTTCTATTGGGCAGGCTGAGGCAGAAGCCTAAGACTCAGTAAATAGAGTCAGGGCTGCTAGTCCTCCGGAGGACCACCTGAAAGGGTAGAGGTCCAAGCACTACTTGTAAACATTTAGAGAGGCCCCACGTGGTTCTTGCTCAGCCCTGTACTGCGTGCCTGCTTATGTTGAATAGATTGCTCCCATGCCCGCAGCCTAGGCTGCTCTGGCCCCAGGCAGGGTAGGTTCTCAGTCAAGAATCCTATCCTTCCATACCCCATGTTCCATCCCTAGCCTACTGGTCCCCTCCCACCTTGGGCAGGAAGCTTGAGATTGGGGTCTGCAAATTTAAGCTCAGGGACTCAAGTGATTTGAGGGAGGGCTGAATGAGAGACCTGGTTATAGCATGCAGTTTAGAAGGTTGGGAGTAGAGACCAAAGAAAATTGGAGGGTCAAATATTGGGTGGACAGGACACCCATGGTTGGTGAGGTAAAGACATGTATTTTCCTCAGTTCATTTTTATTGCTGTTTGAACTTTGAAAGGAACGAAGGGTGGCTTGTAGGCCTAGGCTAGTTTAAGAACTAAGCCAAAGGGAAAAGCTGCCATCTCAACTGGGCAAAGCACTGGTTTATGGTCCTAGTTTCACCACTCCATAGCTTTGTACCCTTGGGAAAGTCATGTAGTCTCCAAGCGTCAAATTCCTCATGTATGAAAGAGAATTTGAGTTAGATGTCCACTAGGAAATCCTTCAAGCTGACGTTGAACCACCTACAAGAATCCAGATGGTCTGAGAACAAAGGTCAGGATGTGTCCAGCTTTTGCTGAATTCATTCCGTCTGCTGGATTTCCCCACCTTATTCTCAGTTGGGCAGGCTAAACATACCTCAGGCAACTAGCCAGTCCTTTCCAGGAACCTGCTTCAGCCCAAGTAGCAGAAGGATCAGCAAGTCCATTAACTAGCAAGGAAGGAGACACCCCTGCAGCAGAGTTCAAGGTCACGATCAGCAAGCCAGGACTCAAATCAAGCAGGCCACCAAGGAATTTCTGACTGAGGAAGGGGCCTGTGGGGCAGGTCCTCCCTATCTCCCCTCACGTAGCATGTCTGGCCAGAGGACAGAGAAGAGAAATGAGCCAGACAGGAATAGTTCAGTTAGCTAATCTGGCCAGACCAGTGGTGACCCTTTCTCCACTGACCTTTCCCCTACTGAGACTCACTTTTTCCCCAAGGTCATTTGGGACCAGAAAGTGGGAAATAACAAGTTCTAGTTTCCTAGTATCGCCTCAGAAAGTTATTTGCCTTATTCCCAACAGGATTTAATTTGCCATTGTACTCCGGAGGGGAGGGAGGTTCCCCCTGCAACTCTAATGGGAGTCAGTGGAAAGACAGTGATCCAACCCTAATTGCAGGACCTGAGAGGCTAAGTGCGATTACCCTGGGCACCCAAAATTTGGGGGGAAGGAATCCAGGGATTCCTCAGACCCAGTCCTGACCAATGCAGGGAGGGGCTATGCCCCGGTGACCTCTGACTCTGGGACTGTTCTTCATTCTCAAACCTCTCCTCCTCCTGGAATTCTCAGCTGTGGGCTGAGGTTCCCAAGACTTGGACCTCCGCCTCTCCTTGAATCTTCTCCATTCTCTAATTCCATTTCCCTTGGTATAAAATAGACAAGGAGAAATATCCAAATCCTGTATCTTATGTTCTCTGTTACACTCAGGGCAGCCTTAATAGTGCTAGAATAGGAAGGAGGTTAGACCTGTCTTTGCCTTACCCAAAAGGATTTGGGGGACAAACTAACCTGAGTCACGGACACCGATCTGGGATATTTCCTATCTTGGAGAGAATAGATGAAATCCCATGTGGACAGGGAAAGAAGCCCTGGTACTCATCCTCCTTATGCTCTGCTATGGCCAGAGAAATAGCCATTCTAGAGGGGAAATTCCCTCAACTAAGGAGGTCAAAGTAACTCTTTTACCTCATTTTTCGTGGGCAGGGATGGTAAGAGGATGTGAAACAAAGATGGGGTCAGTGAAAGGAAGGCCAAATGCTGACCGGTCCTTTTCTCAGCCCTCTGCTTCCTGTCTCTAAGCCTCTCTCTTGGCCCTTGGACAGTCTTTCTTGTCTGACCATACTTGGGTGCTCTTGGCCCCTCACCTCTCCCTTACTTGGCTCCTGTTTTGAGACTTGCTTTCCATCCTGAGCCACCATTCTAACACCTGTCCAGAGCTATCAGGGATGTTTATAAACTTCTCAGAAGCTGGACTGGGCCAGGTCAGGAGGGGTGGCTGAGAGCCAGAAAAAGAGCTTGTCACTCAGACTCTCTTATTGTCTTTCAGATTCCTTTCCTTTTCTGACTCTCTAACCACATCTTTCTTTCCATGTCTCTCTTTGCCTCCTGTCTTTAGCATTATGCTACTTAAATTAGGTTATCAATGGGTGATGTGGTGAGGAATATTTGGAGCCGCAGACTACACACCTTCCAGAATGTCAATTTTACTTTTAAGATTTGCTGGGGGAAGATAAATTATTCTTATACTAAAATTACACAAATATATTATGCAGTGTGAATCAAAATTTGCACTTTTGAAACATAAAACGGGTACTTCAAAGACATTTCTGGCTTGTGACAGGCTACTTTGGACTGTTCCAGAAGCCCGGGGGAAAATTCAGTTTCCCTAATCTTAGGGGTCCTTCAGAGGAAATATTTGAGAAGAAGCTCTACTTAGAGCAGAGGTGACAACCTAAGGCAAACACCTTAACACCAGACAAGAGCCAAGGGTATAAAGGAGTGAAGCAGGTGAGTGTAATGCAATAGGGAGTGGTGAGAACTGGCAGATATAAGTCTGCCTGACCCTTTTAGCTCTAGCAGGTTGATGCCATGAAGGAATGTGGGCTCAGTGTTACCAAATGTGGTTGCTTTTTAAGGGAAGCCAGAACAATAGATTTTAGTGAGATCTGGTTTTTTAATGTTTACAACCAATTCAAATATTTAGGAAGAAGCTATACAAGTTTCTAAATGCCTGCAAGCTGATTCCACCTATGGGCCCTCGGTTTGCTGCCTCTGACCTCTATCAACATTTCTTCCACTTCCCAAAGGTGTATGTGGTCCAAATCTGGGCTTCCAAGGTCTCAAATTCTGTTCCCAAGAGCTGGGGGCAGTGAGCTTCATGAGGTTACAGGGGAGAATGGAGCTCTCCTGCAGGACAGCTTGGGGAGGTAGAACTGAAGAGAAGCCCTTTGGGTACCAATGGCAGGTGACACCTTTCTCCAGCGGGACAGAAGGAGCCATTGGTCCCTGCCCAACCACCTTTTCCCTGATCTTCAGGGATATGGAGCTAAAAACATCTTGGGGTCTGGAACAGAAACCAAAGATTCCTCAGAGTTGGAAGATGAGACAAGCATGAAAGCCCACGCATAGAGAGAAATGGGAGAACAGGAGATGAAGGAAGGAAGCTGTGAGCCTGGATAGATGAAGGAGGAAGTCAGAATTTAGACAGGTAAACTGGAGAGGGAGGGGTCTTTAGCCACAGAACCATATAAGGGAAACACAGTTCTCACGCTCCTGAACCCCGCCTCCCCTCCCAGCAACTGAAATCCTTCCCCTGTCCATCTGTCCATGAGGTTAAAAATATCTTAGCTGGGTACCCAGCCAGACATTTCCAAGAACCTGTTTACCGACCATCTGATTGACTTGGAGAGGTGGTCAGCAGCTCCATCACCCAACAGGGAATGAGAATGGACCTTGCTTGACATTCCAGGACTCAAGGCCCATGGGTGTCACAATTCTGTCCCCATGTTCTGCCTTTCCTCTTCCTTCTTCCGTCACTCCATGGCCTGGAGATGACCAATCAGTTGGTAGTCAGAAAAATCCCAGTCTTCAGTCTGTCCATCCTTTTCGTAACAGGCTCCATAGAAAGTACAGCAGGGTCACACCAAGGGAGAGGTCAGGACAAGACAGGAATAGCCTAAATGGGCTAAATTGGGCCTCATCAGTGGGGCCTCCACTGGCTTTTGTGCTACTCAGTCTAGCCCACCTCAGGGAAATAAATTAAATGAGATGCAATACCTTCAAATAAGGAGTCTGAGAGTTCTTTGTAGTGTCACAAACAGCACTCTCTGTTTCTCAGTTTATCACTCCAAATGGTGGGAAGCTTTCCCCTGGAGTTGTATACTGAAAAGTTAAGAAAGCTCAATTAATTAATTCCCAGAAGGTGATAGAGTTACTCCAGAGGCCTGTGAAGCACGCTGGGAGTATGAGAGAGAAAACTCTAGTGGTCCCAGAGCTATAGCATGGGGGTGTGCAGAGGGCCTGTCCTGGCCTGGGGTTGGGAGTCCCAATAGTGGGCCACCTCTCCCACCACAAAATTAACTACAGGTTGAGTCAGCCTCTGTACAGTGACCTCTTCTCAGACTGTTTTGCTCCCCCAACACAGGAAGGGAATCAAGAGAAGCAAAGAGAGAGTGGTGGTACTTATGATAGGTCAGAGAGGAGGAACAAATTTGAGGACATGCCTGGGAGTGAGCTAATCAAGGCAGTGGTGGTGAATATGCCTCCTCTTTTATTTTAGATAACAAGCAAAATAACTTCGCCATTGTTCTAACTCTTCATATATATATACACTTTTTTTAGGAGAAATAAAGCTGTATTAGTTTGCTAGGGTTGCCAGAACAAAATGCCACAGACTGGGAGGCTTAATTAATTTTCTCACAGTTCTGGAGGCTTTGAGTCCAAGATCAAGGTGTCCACAGGTTTAGTTTCTTCTAAGGCCTCCCTCCCTTGCTTGCAGATGGCCACATTCTTTTGTTTTTTCATTTAATTAAAAAATTTTATTTTATTTTAGGCTGTGTTGGGTCTCCGTTGCTGCACGCAGGCTTCTCATTGCAGTGGCTTCTCTTATTGCGGAGGAAGGGCTCTAGGTGCATGGGCTTCAGTAGTTGTGGCTCACGGGCTCTAGAGCGCAGGCACAGTAGTTGTGGCGCACGGGCTTAGTTGCTCCGCGGCATGTGGGATGTTCCCAGACCAGGGCTTGAACCCGTGTCCCCTGCATTGGCAGGCAGATTCTTAACCACTGCACCACCAGGGAAGCCCCTGTCCACATTCTTGCTGTGTCCTCACATGGAATTTCCTCTACGAGCTGAGTGTGCATGTCTGTGTCCTAATCTTCTCTTCTTATAGGGGCATCAGCACATTGGATTAGGGCCCAGCCATATGACCTCATTTTAACTTCATCACCTCTCTTAAGGCCCTATTTCCAAATACAGTCACATTCTGAAGTACTAGGGTCTGGACTTCAACATATGAATTTATGGGGTTTCAGTTCAGACCATAAGAGCAGCGTCTCCCTGTTGGTTGAAGCAGAAGTCTCTTCTCAGAGGAGAGAGGAGTCTTCCCACATGGCCTAGAACTTGACCCAGCCAAGTCATGACCATGACTCTGATTCCCTGTTGTTTTACCACATGCCTCAGTGACTGAGAGTGTAGGTCAGGGAGTGAAAAAGAAATTATGTCCTTAGTACATTTTCACTAAATATTTCAGCCTTTGTGAGGCCACGTATTCACAAAAGAAGTAAAGAAGTTATGTTTTTGTCACCAAGTGGTTGGCCTTGGAAGGCACACAACTCACTGAGGAACCACATAAGTGCCTCCAATATGCTGAGGCAAGCCATGAACACAGGAGCTGAAGACAGTGAGAAATCAGATGTCACATCCTAGTTGGGAAGCAGGTGCATCACCAGGTTAGTTCAATCAAATCCGTGTTATAGGTGCTGGGGTTGAGGAGGGCGTCAGTCCTGGAACACTTTATCAGAGAAATTTATATTTTCATATGGCCTCAAGTTACTGGCATCCTCCAGTACTCCCTTTAGCATTTCTTGAAGGGTAGGTATTATAGTACTGAACTCCTTCAGCTTTTGTGTGAGAATGTCTTTCATTTTTCCTCATTCCCAGGTTTCACATGTGGATGACCAGGGTTCACACTTAAAGAACTTTACTATTTTCTTACAGCTACATTGGACCACCAGGAAAATAACTTGCCTGGATATTATTTCTTGCTTTTAATGGTCACGATTTTTGCCAGAAGATGAGACAATGGATGTCCTCCAGCATCACATCTATGTACATATTTCTCTGCAATGTGTCCAGCAGGTCCCACTCTTTGTGGGTGAGTTCTACAAACACGTCTTCAAAGGTCACTGATCTCTAAAGCATCATGGATATTCTGGTTCAGTCAGCATCATTCTTTCCAGTGCCTCCCATGACTTGCTGTATTCTGTTGGTCAGAAGCCAGTCAGTAGCCACTCAGTAGTTGCACAAAGAGTGGAGTTTCCTCACTGGATGTGGATCACAGTCTGTGGCTGGGAACATCCAGAAGTGGGGTTCAGTGTTCTCCCCAAGAACTGGGAAAAGTGGCTGCATTCTGGAAATAACTGAAAGTGATGAAAATCCAGCCTCAATCATCACTGAGAAGGTGGGGATAAACCGCGTGGGGCGGCCGGAAACGAAGGCACGGTGACGGGAGGAGGGTGCATGACCCCTTTTCACAGGTTGGGGTGCGGGCGGGGAGCGTCTTCTTCCCGCAGCCCCGCCAGCAGCCACGCGGGCCCCGAAGCCGCCACATGTGCTCCCGCCACCGCCATGGCGCCTCCCTTCCCCACATATATTTTTAAAATCCTCACTTCTAAGGTTGTTACTATTACTCTTTCCCATTTTACAGATAAACTGTAGCACAGAGAAGGTTAAACAAGTTGCAAGGTCACACAGCTAGTTAAGTGGTGGAAGTAGGATTTGAATTTAGATAGTTTGGCTCCAGTTGGTGTTGTGCTTAATTACCACACTATACTATTTCTCCTTAATAGTATAGGGAGACTGATCCCTGAACTTCTTCTAGGCTATAGACTCACCTATTGGGCCAGGAGCTGCAGCCCTGGTTCTGCAGTCATCTCTGAGAGGGAGTTTTTCAGCTTTGGAAATGGAAGTGAACGTAGAGTCAGAACAGAGAATGGGGCAAAAGTTTCTTTCTTTCCACTCCAGAACTATTGAGGTCAGGATGCTTGGGACAGGGGCCGTCAGAGGGTCAGTAAAACATTCTCCTTATCCATCTTATGCATTCCATCACCTAGGGATAGTCTGAGGAAAAAATACTAGGAAGGGGTCTGTATACTACTGAAAGAACTGGGCAAAAGTAACTCTTTTACCCCACTTCATAACCTTCAGCTCTTAGGTGATTGTTTTTTGTTGACCAGGTGTTTGGTCAGATCTTCTCTCCATACTTTTCCCTCCCGATGCCTCAACCCAAGTTATATCCTTGTTTTTCCAGTCTGTTCAGAGTTATCAAGGTAGCCAAGAATCCTGGTTGTGGAAGTATCTGTTCTTTCCTTGTTAATTTTACTTTCTCTAGCTCTTTTCTCTCTTTAGTTTTCTTTCTGTCTTCTCTCAGATCTTCCTATACCAGATTGGGCCTAATGAATAAATGATACTAAGAACTGGATCTCCTCAAATGGCTGTACATGTAGGTTATAGCTCTTTAAAAATTAAGTGTCATATGAGAAGAGCAAAGGAAAGGAAGACCCAAGGTATCCACCCACTTAAGTGGAGAAACAGCTGGCCTGGGACCTAAGGAAGAGTACTTAAGCAACCCTATGTGCAGATGTCCTGGGGTGGGGTAGAAGTTGTGTATCGAAGGCAAAAGGAAGTCCAGCGGAGACTTTTGTGCTCTAAGGGAGGGATGCGTTTCCTCTGGATGAACAGCTATAGCTGCTTCCTTCCTTCCTCAGATTTTGCTGTGCTGTTCAATATGATAGTCACTAGTCACAGGGAGCTAACTAAATTTAAAATAAACAGAAATAAAAATTCAGTTCATCAGGAAGAGTAGCCACATTTCAGAGCTCACTAGTCACATGTGGATAGTGGCTACCGTATTAGGGCAAATATAGAACGTTTCCATCATTACAGAAAGTTCTGTTGGCCAGTGCTGGATTTGAGGTATTAGGGTATCAGGAGGAGGTGCATATGTTCTGGCCCTTCAAGGATCAAATCTCTATCAGACCTTGGGTGTAAGTTATCTACCCTCTCCATCCCCTTCTCATATCACGTACCAGTAGCCAGGCTGTATATACAAACAACCAGGCTTTTGTGCTCCATGGTCTCTCCATCTCTTTGTCCTGCCCTCTGGCCTGCTCTTGTCCTTGGTCTATCCCTCCAGTCCCTGCAAAACAAGCTCCAGAAAAACTTTTCCATCAACTTTGACTTAGTTTTCTGGTCACAGAGTTGAAAAAGGGCGGAGGCACTAAATTCTTGAACAGGTAAGAAAAGGAGGCAGAGGTGAGAGTAAAGGTCACAGTCACCATGGCAGCAGAGCTAGAGACTGACACCTTGGTAAAAAAAAAAAAACGACAACGGCCAGTAGAGAGCAAAAGAGCTGCTGAGAATGAAAGATAGATGCAGACAAAGATTGAAGTGGAAAAGAATCTTTTCAATCCTACTTTCTGTTCAATTTACATTGATTTTATGAACTTCCAGGAGCCTGAGGTCTGGAATTACTATGTGGAGGTCCATAGAAAAGCCAACCCCCAAATAAGGGCTAGGACTAGATTTGTCTGCAGATTTAAATGAACCAGAAATCAGAACGTACTCTAACCTCTGCCATCTCAGGGTTTCTCATCACTAGTCACTCCTAGTCACTCCTTTCGGAATAATAAAAATCATTTCAATTAGAGGTGGAATTGCGCCATCAATCTGTTATTACTCTACAAGGAAGTAACAGAAACTGCTGAAGCATATCATAAGGAATGAGGGTTGGTTTGAATATTCAGCAAACATTTACTACGTTATGATCGTGTACTTGGATACGAACTGTAATGGGAGCTGCAGAGATAAAAAAAAAACGGTAGCTGCATTCAAATAACTTGATGGTCAGGGGCTTCCCTGGTGGCGCAGTGGTTGAGAGTCCGCCTGCCGGTGCACAGGACACGGGTTCGTGCCCCGGTCCGGGAAGATCCCACATGCCGCGGAGCGGCTGGGCCCGTGAGCCATGGCTGCTGAGCCTGCGCATCCAGAGCCTGTGCTCCGCAACGGGAGAGGCCACAACAGTGGGAGGCCCGCGTACCAAAAAAGAAAAAAATAAAAAAAAATAACTTGATGGGCATAACTAAATCCTTATGTCCTGTATTATGTCTTCCTGCATAAAAACCAGCCTTATACTGGGAAGAAACTATGATGAAACCAAATTTTGAAAAAGACCCATAACCTTTTCCTTCCAAATCCCCTCACAAACTTCATTTCCCTGTATTTCAAGAGCTCATTAAACAAAACAAGAATCAAAGCTTCATGCACTCCAAAGTTGAAGGAATTTAATAACGATTAACTATAGATGTAGAAAACTAGCTTGGACCACCAGAAGATCCCACTACAGTTCTTTAGTGAATTCGACAAAAGACAATGTAGCTCAAATTCCTTCCCTCTTCACCCCACCAACCCGCATTCTGACTATATTCATTATGGTCAATAGGAAATGGTTTCTCTACAAGGTTTCCAACAATGTGAATTGTGAAGTAGGGGGAAAGCTCCTTTGCGCACATTTTCTTTCTAATAACGTCTTCAACACCATCTCAGAGACAAGAAAACAAACTTTTTTTGCCATTAAAAAAACTTTATTTTTTACAAAGAATACCCCCACCTGGGGTGAAAAAATATATCTGGTTAAGTACAAAATATAGTTTTTGTCATACAAAAAGATATACAATTAAAAAACAACAAAAGAATGAAACCACCTTCAGCCCACATACTTTCTCAGGAAAGGGAAGATAGAGCTCAGTGCTCTGACACAGGACAGTGAACAAAGTGCTAAGGCTGAGGGAGGCTGAGCAAGTGCTAGAGGCTGCAGTGAGATAGGGGCTGTCAACATCCCTGTCTCCTAACACTGGGCAGGAAGGGAGCCCGCACAGCTTTTGTGAAGACCTGCCCTCTAGTTTCTCATGGCAACATCTGTATGCTCCGATCACAGTGTTGGGGCATTTTGATTTAGAGTTCCTCCTTGGGTTTGGAGAAGTCACAGTGGGCAAGGCTGATAGCAGCAACCCTTCTCATATAATTAGAGTGTCAGAATTGCAGAATTCTGTACACTAGGACAAAGTCTCAAAAGCAGTAACACTTTTTTTTTTGTCATTGTGCTTACCCCTAGAGACATAGTAGACCAGTTTTAGCTTACACTTGAGAAAGGAAAAAAATCCCAAATTTGACACAAACTAAAGTGCTAAGAACATCACCTCAGAATCAATTCCAAGGAGTCACATGAAAAGAAAAACACATTCTCCCACGTGAAAATGTTTGCCAACAGGAGAACACAGTGCAATAGGCTCTAAAAATGGCTTTTAAGACCTTTGGTGGGGTACAGTTACTACCGCTTTATACCTGATTAAAGTACTTTCTGAACAAAGACAACCTTTGAGCTTCTTCCCTTTAATCCACATGGGAAGCTCACTCCAAAGTCCAAACCAAATCAGCTCTGGAGGGATTTTTTTTTTTCTATAAGTGTACAAACAAACGATTTTAAGAACATCCTTTTCCCAAAGTTTTGGCCGTGATTTTTTTCCTTTTCATTTTCCTGGTTTGCTAAATTGGCTCTCCTCTACATGGCAGAGGTTCAAGGTCTATTGTTACACCAATCTATAATCCCCTCCATAAAACACTGGGAAGACCATGCCAGGAGGCCATTTCTACCCCTTATTCAAAACTACTGAAAATGCCTCAATTTTCAAAGAGATTTAAGAAAATGGGATTGGCCTGAATTTTTCTAGTATGTTTTTAAACTCATCCAGCAAAATACCCCGTATCACATCTCACTGGCTGAGGACGAGTGTGCACCCATTAAAGCCCAGGAGATCACCTCCTACACTGGAGAGTCAGAGGCTGGGGTGGACCGGTACCCCACTGTAGAGACTGCTGAGTCTCTAAAAAAGTACGAGTCCGGGAGGAGAGATGAAAAGAAACAAGTAGGTACAGCTACTTCTTTTCTTCCACATGCTCACTGCACATTGTTGTTGAGGATGCAGGGATCCACCTGGGAGGAAGAAAGAAAACATTTTAGTTTGGGTGAGAACTAAAAGAACAACCCAGTTTAGCAATCCCTCCAAGTCAACTTCCTATAGTAGGCTTAGGGCAAATGTAGTGGTAAAATGACAATTCTCACCTCAGTGTAAGTAGGTGGTGGCATGAACTTGAACTCAGGAGCATACATAAAAATAGGGCTGTCTTGAGAACCATCTGTGTCATCTAGCAGAGGAGTAGTGGGGCTCTCCAATCGGTGATCTTCAGGAATGATATCCATATAGCAAGGAGGAGCTAGAGAGAGAAAGTATGGGGATAAGAAGCCTGGCCAAGGAACGCTTGACCATCACCAATTTTACAAACCCAAGCAGGCCAGAGAGGAAGAACAGACATTAGGTCTACCTCACCTTCTGGGGTATCGGGGATGTTTAGATCTACCCAACTCATCTCAGAACTGGTTCGGCTGGCCATGCTGGATGTCCGGCTACTGAGGCCTGACCTGCTGCCAATTACCAGGGGCAGGTCAAGAATGACTTTCTTGGAGCCAGGGACGCTAACATAGATCTAGAAAAGGAGATGGTGGTTTGTTAGACTGGAGATCTGGAGAAAACACCACTATTGTTCTGACAGATGAATAATTTCTCTCTCCAGCCCCACTCACTCACCAGTAAGGAGTATTCAACTCGAAGGATGTTGCAGCCCAAGATAGAAGGCCTGATCTTCTGCACCCGAAGGCTCTTGCCACGCCATGATGCGCAAGTTCCTGAGATAATATGATTGCCTCTGACCGATGACAACTTCTGCGTCAGCATCTTGGTTTGGCCATTGGCAAGGTAAGTGTGGCGGGCAACAATGGCAGCTTTGGGGACCACAATGCGGGAACTCGTATTCTCAAAGTCAGCATGGATGTTAATCTCATCACCTAGCAATGGGAAAGATGAAAACTAATGCTTAATACAGTTGATGACTTTTCATCTGTGTCTGGCTCCTGCCCTCACCCCCAAACCCACAGTTCCTGTTTTAATAGTCTCCCATTTTAAGCGCTAGATCCTTACCTTCACAGAATCCTCTTCTGTCTATTTGGGCAGAGACGGACACCCGCCCATCAGGAATAAACATGCAGGAAACTTTCTTCTCCTTTTTAGCAGACACAGGTGCCTATGTAGAATGGAGGAAAAAAACGTTTTGAGAATTCCTACAGATCCTTTCTCTGCTTCTCTTTCCTTTCCACTGCTAATTTAGAATAGGCAGCTTTCCCTCCCACCCTGATGACTTAGGACTTGATTCCTTGAGGGGCTTCACTCTAATGCCCTAGACACTTGACTTCTTATCCCTGAAACCCAGAAGAATAGAACCTTAAAATGAACCTCACCAGTAAATCAGGGGTATTGACATCCACTAGATCCATCACTTCAAAGTTTTTCTTTGTCTCCTGAGTTGGGTGGCTGGGGCGATCAAGAAAAGCCTTCACCCAGTAGTCTACACACCCATATTTTCCTTTGAAAGATGTTCCCAGAGGCCTTTATCAAGAAAAAAGAAACAATTAATTTAAAAATGCTCTCCAAGAAGAGTAAGTGATCAAAGGAGGAGAAGATAAGTCCACAGATGCATTTAGCTGATACATACCCCTGAGGAAGCTCAAAGCCAAACTTGTATTCATATTTGTTTCCAGGTCTCATGATCACCATCTCATTCTCACCTGAAGGCAGAGAAAAGCGAGTAGCCATTAGGTTTCTTGTTACACTTAAAATGCATCTGTGCAATATGGAATTCTTGGGCAGCATACAAGAGTATTGTAGAACCCCCATTTTCATCCCTTATGTTCTTAAACGAGAGATTCTGATGCATTTCGTTGGGCCAAAAAGTTGCAAAGCCCTGCAGTGCTCAAAGGCTCAACCAGGACAGTTAAGCTACTATCATCTCAAACAGGAAGCAAACAGAATAAACAAGTTATGCACACAGAAAATCTTTCAATAGCTAAGGCAACATCCCTCAGGATCACCTACAGAACACAGCACCCAGCACCATAAGAAATTGCACACATCACCCTTTTTTGGGGGGGGGGGGGGGGGGAGGAGTTTGCAAATTAAAACTAAAAAAGATAAGGAAGCCACACAAAATGCAAACCACACAACCTGAGCAACTTAGAATCTACACTGTAGGCTCCATTTATTCGTATCAATTCTCTTCTCGAATCAGCTTTCACCTTCCAGCAATCAGCTGGGTCACTCACCTGTTGGCTGGTCGTCCAGGAGAAGCGTGTCTTCGTAGCGCAGGTAGTTCAATGTCTGTTTGCACTGTTGGGATCCCTGCATCCACAGGACCTTGGCCATTCCGCAAGCCAGGATCCTGACAGCTCTGACTCCAGTGACTTCACACACCTCCACTATCACCCGGCCAGCCACCTTCTCCCCACTGCCGTACACCTTTTCGGGGTCGTTAAAGACCACCTCGAAAGACTTGATCTTCTTGAACATCACCATAATTGGGCTGGGTTGGCTTAGGAGTTAAAAACGAGGGAGGAAAAACAGAACCCCAAATCAAAGGACCCTTAGCAATAAGTTAAAATTATTACACTCTTCAATCCTCTACTAAATTTTCGATAAGATGTCCACAGAAATTGTAAGCTGCGGCTTAGGCCAAGGGATTTCAAGAGAAAAATAAACCC